TGTAACACTTAAGAGTTTGGCTCACCTCAATGGCTTTGATTGATTCCTCATAGTAGTGAAAGTGTTGAATCTATCACTTTGAAAAAAATTGATGAAAAACTGATTGCTATAATTATGGTGTAAAAACATGATTCATAAAAATTTTCACGATAGAAAAAAAACACAAACTTACCTCGAAATATAACAAGAAAACCGTCGTATTTAATAGATACTTTACATATACCAACATGTATAGTATACGATATACTCTTTTCAAATAGTATATCGTTTGTAAAAAAATAAATTCTGAAATAAAGCCAGTGTCCCTGCCGCTCGATTCAAGCAAAATGAACCGTATTATATAATAACCGTAGTATTTAATTCGAGCTAAGACTCGACTCTTAGCAAAAAAAAATTAAATTAAAAAAAACGTACAAAATAACAAAAATAACAACGATTTGTGAAGAAAAAACAAACACTTTCTATCAAGAACAAACCTTGTTTATATGTCAGCCGTAATCCGATTAGACTCTGTAATTAAGCTAATTAATTAACGCAGCAGATCCCACGTTGTTTATAAGCCTCTTAGTTGCGTGGAATATCAATTTAGATAATTATGATGCATAGATCTGATGACCTCCGTGGCTGAGTAGCTTGCACACCGGTTTTCATAGTGTCACCATAACTGGGGTCCCGGGTTCGATCCCCGGCCGGGTCAGTGTAGAAACTAACTTTTCTAAATTGTCTCGGGTCTGTCTCTGGTCTGTCTGTGGTACCGTCGTTGTTTCGGATTTCCATAACACAAGTGCTTTAGCTACTCAGTCGCCGCTCAGCAGCCGGGGATCGAACCCGGGACCTCAGAGATGACGACACCATGAAAACCGCTGTGCAAGCCACTCGACCACGGAGGTCGTAAATCAATGTAAATAATTTTAAATTTACGTCCACGCAATTAGCGAGATAGCGAGATGTGAACAACGTAAATTAGATTGTGCCGTACAAAGAAAATAATGAATTGGTACCAACCAATGGTACCAACATACATTCTTTCTACATGACCAAACCCTTGATATTAAATGGCATTTTTCGTGCCAATTTTACATGCACGAATTTTCGATATTCGGCCAGAAGCCGAAAATACTGTTCGTCGCAACACTATTCTGCTACAATAGTCTTTATTTATAAAGAATTACACATATCCCGTTTCGATACCTTTTAACAACTTGGCATTGGCAAAAAGTCAAAGCTCTATTGCCTTAAAACAAAAAGAGCGTTTCTCAACTACTCAAATTCAACACGCGATTTTCGGTCCAGAAAAATCTTCTAAAATATATAATAAACCAATCCTGCCCCCATCCTGTCACCTGTCACGTTGTCTTAGGTTAGCTTTCATTTTCTCCTCAATCTACAGTCATTCCCTGTCCCTTGTCACGTGAGAGCTATTTATCAGGTGACATAGCACTGTTACCAGATAAATGTGTTAAAGTATGAGTGTTCAATTTTTGATGTGATGTGTAATATATTTTTGACGTAATATGCATGTATACATGTGTAATATGAGTGTTCAATTATTATCAGAAAAAATACAGAAAAGTTTAGAAACGTTACACGAGCACGTAATTGTGATAAGTTGTGTGTACAGAATCACAGAGAACTACGCTATGTAGTAAAGCTGCATATTACATGGCGTCAAAAATTTATAATCATTTGCCAAAGGAGGTTAGATTGATCATTAATTTTAATGAATATAAAAGACAACTGTTAGCTTTTTTAATAAATAGTATTATTTACACATTGACAGAATTCTTTAACAATAATGATTGACATATTATTCATGAATTTATTTTTATATCTTTTGTAATTTTACTTTATTTGCAATATTTGACAATTTCATTGACCGTAATAAATAGTTGAATGACATATATGTATATTTGCATGCCGATTATGGTAGAATAAGTTGGATTTAGTTAAAATAAGATAATGTACCTTATCTGTAATAGATTTCTCATAGATGGCGCTACGACTAAAAAGTCGTTGAAAGACCAAGTACAAAGACACGACGCAAGCACATAGAAAAATTCGTGAGGTCCGTTGGTTCGTTCCGTGGCTTAGTTGGTATAGCGTCTGGCACGGTATGCAAGAAGACGTCGGTTCGAATCCGACCGGATCGAAGGAATTTTTTCTGAGTGTTTTTTCTGAGTATTCGATCTTTGTATTAATAATTATAACAAACTAGTGGAGTAATTTCACAAAAAATAATTGAATAACAATTCAATAAAAAATTAATTATAATGTACCTTGTTCTGCCAAATAAATAAATTGATAGATTTATTGATATAGTTAGTATATATACTTAATACTACATTCCAGTTCTAGCTACCGTATGAGGTTCGAATTCGACATTCAAAAGTGACTTTAAGTCTTATCCAATGTAGTACTTATTGCAATACCAATGACCTAAAAGGAATTAGGCTTGTTTCAGAGCAGTGCGGACTTATGGACCGTCCGCGCGGCGCACCGGAGCGGAATAACACGTGTAGCGTTAGAACGTCGTTTTACAGTGCCGCGGATTGCTCCGTACGGAACACGCTCCGCGTGAACTCCGCACAAACCACCCGTGCGTTCATCGTAGGCGACTGCCTTCTGTGAATATCCGCAGTACATTAAATACTCGATTCAGAGCACTGCAGGTTCTACGCACGCGGATGGCCCGCAGGCGGACAATCTGTACATAATATATAAACAGGATTCTTTTTGCAACTTTTAGGACGCTGAGAGCTAGATAAATTTGGAATAGTTTTTCTTAATTTTCTCAATAATATCACCTTTCCAGTTCAAATGTATGTCGATAGTTACGCCCAACATTTGTGTATTGAGTACTTCTTGAATGTGATGAATAGTTTTAATTTCTTGTTTTCTTCTATAGAATAGTTTTAAATTACTTACTTTATGAAATAAAATAATGTCCCAATAAAGCTAAATTTCCTATCTACAATATTACTTTCTCTCCGTGTCGCGTAGCCGTGGAATACCTTGTATGCAAATGGGCAGCGCGGTGATGGCCGGCCGCGTTTTGATTTTCTTGTATTTATTTATTTATTTCATATTCATACTTAACGTTACTCAAGTTACGTTACGCGCCACCCCGAATTTGGCTTAGGCACAGTGCATTTTTGCAACATTACTTACTTTTTTACTTACAACCATGGATTGCTACTAGAGATGGAAAAAAGTACTTACTTTTTAAACGTTAAAACGTTGTGCTTTTTTTAAAAAAAGCGTGTTTTTTAAACGCTTTTCACTTAAACGCTTTTTAGTTTGAAGCTTACAAAATGTTGAAAACGAACCGAAAAAAATACACGCGATTTAAATCCGAAAAAATAGTTTCATTTCCTATTAATTATTATTATACAAAAAAAGAACACATTATTCACTTTACAACAATGCAAGAACTGATTTCTTAAAAGTAGGGACACCGCATTTAAAAATATCGCAATCAGAACATATTTCCTTGTAATATCCACACATCCTATAGAGAGGGTTATTTTGTGATACATTATTTCTTATCTACACACATATCATAAACCCTCTATAATATTTTAAACTTTTATTGAATTGATATTCAATTATTTTTTGTGAAAATACTCCACTAGTTTGTTATAATTATTAATACAAAGATCGAACACTCAGAAAAAATTCCTTCGACCCGGCCGGATTCGAACCGACGTCTTCTAGCATACCGTGCCAGACGCTATACCAACTAAGCTACGGAACGAACCATCGGACCTCATTAATTTTTCTATGTGCTTATTGTCGTGGCTTTGTATTTGGTTTTTCAACGACTTTTTAGTCGTAGCGCCATCTATGAGAAATCTATGAAAGTTATATCACCCATGAGTGTTCGATCTTTGTATTAATAATTATAACAAACTAGTGGAGTAATTTCATAAAAAAATATTGAATATCAATTCAATACCCACCTCCCGTTTTAACGCCTTTCGGTATGTAACAATCACATAAACTACTATTGTAAGTGGTATAGTGAATAATCGTTGATTACAGGCAGACCGAGTCGGAATTCTGAACATCAACATCTCTAGTAAGCCACCGTCAAACAGTCCATTGGCAATTTTATGTAGTGTACTACGTTTTTCTAAAGAAACCATAGTAACCATAAGAAAGTAGCTCAAGCGATCATCGTATTCCCGTATTGTTTTACGTATACCAAACATTACGTATACTGTTATATACAGAAGACCAAACCGACGTGCAAAATATTCCAAGACACTTCTGACTAGAGTTCCATACAAGATGACCCACGATTTTACAATTTGAAATGGTTTGGTGTGTCGGACTACAAAGAACAGCATTTTATTTGCCTTACTGCAAACATGGTCGCAATGTGGGCGAAATGTTAGAAAAGAGTCAAAACACACTCCTAAGTCACGGATTTTATATTCTTTATTTTTTTCAAACCGTTTAAATTTAGTAAAACAGATTCTGGTTTTTTTAAGTCCTTCGGCTGTAGCTTTCGTAACTTACATAATAACAAATACTCAGTAAGACATTGTAACTTTTGACAAATTTAAAGTGTATCACGTGTGACAAATTAAAATATAGTATTTATAAGTATTCTTGACCATAATAAATAAGTACTTCATGAGTATAATTGCCGTCTAAAGTGCCTCTGTACTGTGTTATACAAAAAGCCTACTTTTGAATGTTACGGTTAGAATCCAGGCGTTTCAGAGGTGTTTAGTGGTGTAAGTAAATGACAATCCGAATTCTGAAATCAATTTTCATCGATAATTCAAAATACTTTGGACTGTAATATGTAAATCCTTGATTATGACTTACCACCAACCAGTTGGTAAGCAAGTATTTATCAGTGTATACATGGTTTAGATATACATTAATTGTTAATTAAAAACAATATGTTGAATTTTCGACTTATTGATTGAGTTAGTGTTGTAATTACCATTATTATACATTGGTACTTATTAAAAGGTAAAAATACTCACTAGGCTGCGGCGAATGCTTCTTACTGGACATGACGTCATTCAGCTCCTGTCAGCTATCACAGCGCACGCAGGTAATCATTGAAGCGCCTTGTCACTCCCGCTGCCGCTTATCACCACGCACCGAGGCTTAGCCTGTTTCTTACGTTGGATAGCGCGCGCTTTGATCTACTTCACACTGTCTTACTTAGACTTTGTAGATGACTTATTGTTTTGACCATTGAAGTAGGTAGTCTCGTTTCCGCTTGTTCAATTATGTTTTGCTTCTGCTTAATCCTGAAACAACAAATAAAAGAACGATTAACTGATTGTTTTAAAAAAATTACCTTGGTGATTCAGCGGTTGTGGGAGCTGGATGAGGAGGACCAGGACTAGACTCCCGATACGAAATGAACTTTTCTAAATTGGTCTGAGTGTTGTGGGTAGTGCCTTAGAGTGTATTTCGTTGCTGTGGTAGTTACAGTACAGGAAATTCCCTGGTCTGATATCAGGTAATGGATGTGGAGATCTGGGACATTATTGTTATATTACATTGTTATTAAAACTAAATACACACTAGTGATTTTGACTTATTGATTAGTAAAGATTATCTTAAAAGAACTTTTTATTAATGACACGAAGCGATGGGACGTACAACTCGTGGGCCTGGTGGTAGGCGACAGGCCTGTCCATAACAGTTGAAGTGCCGCTCAGACCTTTAACTCGCCACTGCGCCCATCGCATAGAAACGTAACTAGAAAATCCCATGTGCCTGTAATTTCACCATCACATTTCTGTTAAGAAACACACTGCAAACAGTAATTAACATAGGTATAATAAGAGCGTTTGTAAAGTTGCTAAGTTATTAAAAATTGCGGTAATTATACAACCGGCATGAAGTCCTTTTACAGAGGTAACTAGTTTGTTTGTTTCGGGAAATAAAAGCAATTTTTCATGAAAAAAATACCAAATTTTTTTTTTGTTTCACCGCAATTAAAAAAGTACTATTGTAGAACTTTAATAAGAAAAACGCTGAAAGATTAATCAAATCTGACTGAAAAATGGAAGGAAACGAAAGAGAGAAACTTAGCTAGTCCAAGTCCGTAGTTTCAATCTACACGATTGGGAAAGGCCGTGACATTATATATGTGTGTATGTAATAAGGAAAATAAATAGTTTTTAACACACTATAATAATCATCCAATTAGTTTATGATAAAATCGGTTTCAAAATTAAAAACCCACAATTTATTTTTATTTTATATGATAAATACTTTTCATTAAATTTAACCTATTTATATCTATAGTCGATCGGTACTAAAAACAAAATAATCAATTTTATTCATTTTTATGGACAACTCGCGCTTGACCAAAAAATTGACTACAACAAAATTATGATTTTTAAGGTTATTGAATGTCACGATGTTTGACCACCATGATAATTGAATATCATTTTTATTTTTATTGTTATTAATACTAAGTTCGAACACTAAGAAAAAAGTCCCTCGATCCTGCTGGATTCGAACCAACGTCCTCCCGCAAACCGTGCCAGACGCTATGCCAACTAAGTCACGGAATAAACTAGCGGACCTTACGAATTTTTCAACGGCCTTGTTACAGATCTTGGTTTTTGGTTTTTAACCGACTTCAAAAAAAGTAGGAGTGTCTCAATTCGACAGTATGTTTTGTTTTTTTTTTGCTTTGTATATGTTACGCAATAACTTGGCATTTGTGAACAGATTTTGATGATTCGTTTTTTTGTTGGAAATAGGGTACCTCAGTAGTGGTGCCATTTAAATTTAAGGAAAATATTCCACCTCTAATGGTGGTAAACTAAGAGATGAATGTTTTTTGAGGTCGGGTTTTTTAATACTCTGTACTGAGATTATTAACGTCAAATTTATTTTCACAAAAAACACTTAATTTTTTCTGAAACAGATTCCCTGTATCTCTTGCAATTTCGGATTTCTCCGTACTGTCCCAGTTAAAAAACACACACTATTTGTAGAAAGTTGTTTGATGCTGTCGAGTCAGCCGTTTGGTCAGAACCCTCAAACACAAATCCAAATTATATCTTCATTACATAAGTAAAAAAAATTGCACTCGAAATCTTGTCGAAAAGGCAAATTTCCCTGAGAAGAATGATTAAGAAACTCTGCGGGTTGTTCTTTGTAAATAAACATTTGTACACATTTCTCATTTACAACATTTATTTGAAATATCATAGATCGAAACAAGTGCAAGAGCCAAATGGGTCACTAGTCGCTACCAAGGTTTTTTGGCATCCAAGTACGCAGAAGTTGTACATAGCTTTTAGTATAAAGTTTTTGTTTCGCTATAGTTTTATCCCTTGCATATGACAAATTTTGGATATCAACCGGAATCTTATTATAGAAGCGTATACATTGCCCCTTAAATGAATATGTGACTTTGTGAAGACGACTGCCGAGAGCAGCCATATTATTTTTATTAAGTATTTTTATTTATAATTATTAATACAAAGAACGAACACTTACAAAAAAAATGCCTTCGATCCGGCCGGATTCCACTAAGCCAACTAAGCATAAAGATAGATTACATTTTCATGAATGAACTCTAACGCCAGCATAAGAATGTTATATTTTTTAAACTTTTCTCTCGAAGACACATTGAGGCGCAGATTGTAAATGCAGGATAAAGAATCTATGTCTAACCTAAGTCTGTCTTTGTGATCAATTATTCTATCGGTCATTTATGATGGCTGGACGTAACAGTTCACGTTATCTAGTACACTTTATAATTCTTCAACATCAATCAATACCTGTAGCTTATATTTTAAGTTTCGTCCATGTACAATTCGCTCACAGTTGATTGAAAATGGAGATTCTTCTTAATACTTTTGTCAAAATCTTCGTCTGATACAAGCGACTTAATGTACAAACACTATTAAACTAGTGGTCAATAGCTTCTTTATACTCTAAGCACAAAACAAATGGCTGTCAGATGAAGTCATATTTTGTTTTTATCTATCCAACACAAGGTGTCTTTTATCGCGCCTTTTCCTGTTCTGGCTTATCTCGCGGCTGTCGGTGACAGTTACCGTGTCAATTATTCTATTGTCTGGTTTAACATTTTTGTTACGTCGTATTGGGAATTCACCATCGCTCCTATTTGTAAAGAGCGTTCTATCAGAATGATTACTTCCATTTGCATCGCGTAATACACTCAAGCAAGAAATTTCAACTTCGAAGGGGTTTGCACTATAGACGCTAGAGGAGGTCCCAAATTCGATTCTGTAAAACTTTTTCAAAGCGATTCTATATGCCTGCATCCACATTCATACCCAGACCTTTCATGTATTCATCTCGTAGCAACATTGTCGCCAAACAAAAACACGACAACCGAGAACATAAGCCTATTGTGTTTCCTGTGCCACTTTTGTAAACGGTAAAAAGTGCTTACTTAGTCTTATACAGGTGTACGTGCGTCAGGTGATAAATGTTGTAGGTATATTTTTTCCTGAAGGATATTTATCATTCGTTGGCCACTGATGGCCTTAATTGCACCTTCAGACAAAAGGGCAAGCTGAAGTCTCTCAACCCGTGTAATAATGTGTGAGCTCGGATTTCGACTCGAGGCGCAACAAATACTTCCGTTAGAAACGGAGCAAAATTGACGCCCTCGGTGGCCAAACTGTTTATTTGTGCTTTTATTTACAGCTCCAGTATCTATCTGCAAAATAGGGAGGCTACCTTAGGCGGCTCACCCGGGACACTAGCCTCTTGAGAACCGGATGAAGTCAGTGACAACGGTCTGTGACAACCCTGTACACAGGCTGATCTGGAGTCAGAACCTGAACTTAGAAGGTTCCTGTGCATGCACAGGTTATAGTGCCCTTCTCGTATACCCTAAGGGTCGGTAGGGAGGCTCACTATAGTCAAAACTAATGTAGAAAGTTATGGGGCTGTTTATTTATACCGTAGACGCTGGATGAGGAGATAGGACCAAATTAGGAAATGAACGTTTTGACGATGTCCGTGATCGAGTGGTTTGCACACCGGTTTTCATGGCGTCGCCATCTCTGAGGTCCCGGGTTTGGTCCCCAACCGGGTCAGAGAAGAAAAAATTTAATTTCTATATTGCCTCGAGTCTCGGTGTTTGTGATACCGTCGTTGTTTTCGATTTCCATAACACAAGTGCTCTAGCTACTTACTTTGGGATCGTGTGTGATGGTGTTTAATATTTATTTTATTTATTTATTTATGAATGGACTTGAATAACGTGTCAACCAACATGATCCGAGTTTTCGAAAATGCCACCTAAAAATGTTTTCGGTGTTTTTGACAGCTTGTACAAAAATCTGCTTGTAAAATGAAAACTTTGCTGTTATGTCCTCAAGAATGACGAATGGTTGTGATTTATTACTATAATTCCCTAACAACAACAAGCATAACAGCAAACATTTTTATTTTACATGTAGATTTTAGAACAAATAAAGAAAAAAAATCTTTAAATCCTATTTTCGCAAAACTATGATCATATTTGTCAACACGTTTCCGCTTATCAGCATCCAACTTTTCTAAATTGGTTCTAATATGTGTGTTCTGGGAAATGCCCCGGAGTTAATCTCGCTGCTCTGGTACTAATAGCACAGAGAATCCTCTGATTTGAGACCAGGCAATTGGTGTGGCTGTCTGGCACATTATTACATTATTATAACATGTACTCGCGCTGAACTAAGGGATCAATTTTCTTCCCAGCATGTACAAAATTCAGTACGTCAGAGTCGTTACGAAATCTTACGTAATAACTATGAGGAAACTTTTTTATAATGGATGATTAGGTGTCCTCTCATAAGTAAATGAAAAGCATATATGTACAGGCCATTATTACCTCCCAATAGGCTACGCAGAGCTTCCCATTGTTGTGTTCCTGTCATATATCATATGTTTTCCTTTTTCCCCATTTCATACAAAACACAATTATTAATTTAATCTTTGATATTTCATTAACAGGACAAAGAAACGCGACATTGTGTTGATAAATTAGGCCTTGTTCTTGTTTTGGCGTTTTGTGGAAATGGCGAAATGATAATTACCAGGAACTCTGCTCTAGCTATTTAGAGA